AAGTAGACTGCAAGTATTTCTGCCCTTTGCACAAGCTGAATTTCATATTTTCTGAATCATGAAGCTGCCATCCATGTGACCCAGAAAGCCCTTTGATGATCCATATTTAGCTGTATCCATCACTCAACAGATGTCTGGGTAAAGGCCCCATGAGCTCCCTCTACATCCTGTGGTTTCAAGTTCCTGAGCCGTTGGTTAGAAAGCTTTCATCCCCCTGCCCCCTACCCACTGTAGAACAGAAGGACAAATATCCACGCTAGCTGTTCACTTATTCATGAAAGGATAACCACTCCTTACCTACTACAAGCTTGGTGCCGGGTTGGGTAATGTTTTCCTTGCTTCCAGATTTCTTCACTGATTCCCTGATGCACTCCATGGAGCCTGATCATTCTTAAGTTACAGCTCTCACGTAATTAATCCCTCCCAGCTACAGTCTTTTTTAACCCCTGTGAGAGTTGGGGTCTTACTGACAAGCAGATGCCTTGATCCCATGCACCTGCTTTTGCGCCTTGGTACTTCAGAATGAGACAGGTTCATCATGGCTCTGTCCAAGGGTTTAGGCTAGCAGACAAACCTGCAGGGCTCTGTCATCTTGTACCGCACATGAAGAATGAGGTGGTAGCAATAGTGGAAGGCCCAGTAGGTTATGTACGTAATTTCCCAAACCCCTTGGCCTTCTGCATCCCTGCCTCCTATAAAGATGCCCACAAGGAAAGATATTTCTCAGCTTCCTGAGCACTTTGGATCTTCCCATTAGATCTCTTGGCATCTGAAAGGCAGCCTGCCATTCTGTTCCCGTGGAACACAGATGGCTCAGCCCACACCTATCACTAATGAGGATCACACGCAGAGCCTCTTTGGGGGAGAATCTCCTAAGAACCCGGCACTCGCTCCCCATGCTGGCTGGTCACTGTTGACTGTGACATTTAAGCCTGCAAAGACTGTTGGCTGCTCTCTACTCACAGAGCAGAACGAAAGCAGATTAGGTGGGTTCTGGGTCCCACTCCAGTAGAACCTGAAGACGTTGAGGATTAAGGGATGAATGACAGTTGTATAGCAAGGATGAGGTTTGGGGATCTAGCTGTCCTTGTGCTGATAGGCTTAAAGGTGAGATTATTCACTGGAATATGATTAAATGCTATTCAAAGGTCTAATAGATTGGCTATCAGTCTTTCAATGCTGTGTCACTTCATCCAGGATACTAGTTGAGTTGAAAACACTTCTGTAAGAATGATAGGGACACTTTTCCTGTGGGAAAGCATAGATTTTGGTGAAGACAGACTAGTCCTTGCTCTCCTGCTATCTGTGGAGAAAGAGTTTTTCCTTCTTATGCACTAATTCTCTTTTCTGTGAAGCAAGTCTGATGTCCGCATTCTAGATGACTTTGAGGAGCATAGGGATAATAGTGAAAAGACCGGATGTAGTAACAGGCGGTGAGTGAGGTAGTGGATAGGAACTTCCTTTTCTACAAAAGTGCCATTCATTTTTTTTCCCTCTGAACAGAGTGTGGAAATATGTACTCCAATATGGTGGGACATCAAGTAAAATTTATAAACAGTGGCTCCATGGGATTCTGCTCTCTGGTTTAAAACTTGATTATTGGGTCAGCAAGATGACTCAGTGGGTCGAAGTCTTTGCCATGCAAGCTTCACACAATGATTTTGATCTCTAGATCTCAGGATGGAGGGAGAGAACTGACTCCTGAGCGCTCTCTTCTGAGTTCTGCATGCTCCCCCGTCCCCATCACATACACACACACACACACACACACACACACACACACACACACACAAACAGAGTAGGATAGCAGCCTTTTCTTGTCATTACAGTCTGACACAGGTCTGGCTAAAAGACTTTCAAACTACTAATTTAGGTCCCAGTGAGAACGTGCTGTGAAGTCTCCGTTAATCCGTCTGCCCGTCTGTCTGTCCTTCCTTCCTTCCTTCCTTCCTTCCTTCCTTCCTTTCTTCCTTCCTTTGGTTTGCTGTTTGTGTTTTGAGACAGGGTCTCACTGTGTAGCCTTGGGCTGGCCTTGAACTCACAGATATCTGCTGCCTCTGTACGAACCCACTATGCTTGGTAGTCTCCTTTGGTCTTAATGGTATATTCCACTTCTAATGGATCAGTCCTGTCACATATAAGTCTGGTCTGATTGGTTAGTGCCCATTGATCTAAAAATAACTCTTGGATTAATTTTTCATTCAATGTGCAATGATCTTTTGGCTATGTGTGTATGTAACTGCACCATGTGAGTGTACCAAAGAGGCCAGAGTGAGCATCAGCTCCTTTGGAACTGGAGTGACAGTTGTGAACATCCATGCAGTTGCTGGGAATTCAATCCAGGTCCTCTGGGAGAGCAGGCAGCATTCTTAACCACTGAGCCATCTCTCCAGCCCTATTTTTTCATTCTTTTAGAAAAGATGGGGTTCCAAGAAATGTTTATCGAAGGCCTTAATAAATCTACTGATTTTTTTCTTTTCTTCCCTTTACCCTCCCTTCTCTGCCCTACATAGATCTGAGTTAACACCGATGCCTACCAAATAGTTTAAGCAGCTTTCTATCTTTTTCTTTTTTTAGGGGATGGGGGCAGTCATTAAACTGGAAGTTTCCCATCTCTACAGCTATAGTTTTTAGAGGTGGTTTTGTTCTTTGAGGCTACACAGGTGATGGCAGCTGTCACATTTCCTTTTGACTCGTTCCCCTCTTTAAAACCCTTTTCTAGTCCTTTCCATACTTGAAAGGCTAAGAGTCCAGATCCTTGATTCTCACTTAAAGATGTCTATAGAATTACAGTAGAAATGGGCACTCTCATAGAAGAGACAAGAGCTTTGCACCTGGTACCCCCACACTCCTGAGTCAGGAGGGTCACGTGAGCCGGGTTTAAAGCAAGTCTTGGCCACACCATTGGCCACACCGTAAGAATCACCCTAGGCCCCATGCCAAAAAAGCAAAAACTGTTAAACAAAAACAAAAACATTTTAATGACAGAGTTTCCTATTGGGGCCTATTAGTTCAGAGAAGGACTACTTCCATCCTCATCTGAGAACAATGCAAGCTGGTTTTCTTAGGGGACAGAAAACTCCATGTCTGTCTGTCTGCCTTTCTGTCTTCCTTCCTTCCTTTCCTAATATACATGAGTGTTGTGGTGGTTTGAGCAGAATGGCCCCCAGCGGCTTATTATATGTCTAAATGCTCAGTCCCCAGTTGGCAGAACTGTTTGGATAGGACTAGAAGGGTGGAACCTTGTGGAAGGACGTGTGACTTTAATGGAGGAGGTGTTACCTTGTTGGAGCAAGTGTGTCACTGGGGGTGGGCTTTGAGGTTTCAAAAGTGCACACCAAGCCCAGCCAGTCTGTCTGTCTGTCTTTCTCTCTGCCCCCAACTTGCAGATTGGATGTATGCTCTCAGCTCCAGCACCTTGTCTGCCTCCTGCCATGTTCCACCACTGGGTTATGGGCTCGCTTCCTGAAACATAAGGAAAACCTCAACGGAATGCTCTCTTCTGTAAGATTGTCATGGTGTCTTGTCCTAGGACTAGAGAAGTAGGTCAAGCATGTTGCCTGTGTGTGCACCATATTCATGCTTAGTGCTCCCAGGGTTAGCAGAAGAATGGATCCCCTAGTCCTGGAGTTATGGACAGTTGTGAGCTTCTGGGAACTGAACCCAGGTCCTTTGCAAGGGTAGCAAGTATTCTTAACTGCTGAGTCATCTCTCCAGCGCGCCATGTTTATCCCCCCCCCCCCCCGTTTTTCTCCAAGCCTCTCTCTATATTTCTTAGAAGGCACCTAGTACTTGAACAGAAAACTCTAATCCCCCCAATGGGACATTAAAATAATTATTACCATTGTGTATATTCATGTGACCTGGTTGTGTGTGTGTGCACGTGGGAGTCGGAGAACAGCTTGTGGAGTCATTTTTCTCCTTTACCTTTATGTGGGTTCTAGGGATTGAACTCAGGGTGCAGGCTTACACAGAAAATGTTTTTTTTTTTTTTGTTTTGTTTTGTTTTCCCACTGAGTAATCTCCTCAGTCCTTTCATGAAACATCTTAGGAATACTAGTGTTTTGTGAATCAAATTCTAGGAAGCTATGGTTTCAGATAGGGTGTAAAGTCTTAGACTAGATATGGGAGATGATTTTAATTGTAACTAAACATTTGAAGTTATGCTCTCACTGATTCCTATTGGACCCTCGAGCTGGTAGCTGAATGTGACGATGTGGTTTTCTTTCCCAGAGAGCTGGTAGACTCTTCCTTCCTTCCTTCCCTCCCTATCCCCTCTCCCTTCCTTTGATGTTGACATCAGACACCCACTTGCTTGAGCAAGCTGAGGTATAGGCCTCTGACACAGGGAATCTGGGAGTCTAAACCCTGCTTATTCCCAGGATGCTATACTTTTGTAGATCCTGATTGTGGTAGTACTGCACGGAAGGTGCAGCCTAGCTTGGACAGAAGGTAACTGAGAGTTTTGGCTAAGAGAAAAGGGGGCTAGAGATGGGAAAAGTTGATGCAATTATTTTTGGCAGGAGTTGGAACCAAAGCAGCAGGAGAGAGTAAGTTTTCAGGCTCTCTGGCAAAGAAACTTCCTAATCTGTCACTGAGTATGTGTAAAAAAGTGATTAGTAGGTCTCTATATTTATCGTGATTACTCACAAATACATAATTTACATAATATATACAGCACATTAAGTACTATGTCACCTTATATAATGTGCATATGTAAAATATATATATGCATGTTATATAACGCCAGTCTGGAGGCTCTTACAGGTTCTGCCAAGTATTTCCTAATTTATTTGGCAATTTTTACGTATTTTTTTTTCCCCATCTGTAGAATGAACTCTCTTGAGAGGAGCCGGTCTGCGGCCTGAATATAATCGTCCTACAAAGTGTGTCTCCGCTCTCAACTCACTGGGGAAACCCCATGAAAGCCACGCCACATTGAGCCACAATCCCTCGCCCATCAGCCCAGCGACAAGAAGGCACACTGAAAGCTTCTTGTTTCATTGTTTTTATTGCTAGTGGGGTGGAAGCGTGAAGGCAGGTGAGAACATGCCTGCAGCATGGAAAGAATCCAAGCAGGAGAACACATAAGGGACCAGGCTCTCCCCTGACGGTGTAGCTTTAAGAAGCCACTAAACACCAGAAAGCCCCATTCTCAGCAGGGTGGAGATGATAATACTTTGCTGGCTAGAACTTGGGAGCGAGGGTCACTAAGATGATGCACTATACAATAAGAAACCCCAGCCAGGGAGTTTAAAGGATGACTTGTAAGGTAAGATTAAACAGCAACACAAGACTTATTAAGATTAGCAAATCAGAATCGCAAATGGCATGGCGTTTTGTATACTCTGTGCCTCTGAGAGGACCGGGCTGTGTCTCTCAGGTAACATTCAATGTCTACAGGGCCCCTTCACAAGACTTGTGAGTCTCTGGGAATCCATTCACCTATCGATGGTGCTGCCTCAACCCGTAATCCTGGGGGGATCGGTGCTGAAACACACTTCTGTAAATGTCTTAGAATCAGTGACCCAGAAGCTGAACCTCTGACAGTTTCAGAAGCCAGTGCCGTCCAAAATAGTACCTGCTGTCGTTTGGGAGCTTGGGGGTTGCATCACCAAGCGTCCCATCGGTGTGTGCTTTAGGTGGTCTGGGTTCTTCCTTGCTCAGCAGAAGCATGTTCGGTTAAGCAGGATAGTCCCTAGTCTTAGCCCTCCGTTTTAGATGGCAACTTCCTTCAGAGGTTCCCTTTGTACATATTCCTCACCTTCCCTTCCTTGTCCACTGCAAGGAGGCAGCTTATTAGAGCCATGCCTTTTGGGCCAGGTTTTCTCTTGAGAAATCTGAAACAGAGATGAAGGCCCAGGTAAGCCAGGGGGCTGAGGCAAAGGTTGTTTTTTCACCAACGATGCTCTGTGTAGAGTTACCCTCCACAAAGGGGGATGCTGGCACCAGCTGAAGGAAGCCCACCGAACATGACAGAGACTGTTTTGTCTTCATTGTCAACATCCGACATCTTCACTGAAGTCACATCGGTAGTCAGGAATGTTTCCAAGGCAAGAAGATCGACGAGGTGACATGGGAACTCAATCAGATCGTCTGTCTGGGGCCTTCAACTAGAGGACAACTTCTCTCCACGTAGAACTTGGGAAGTAGGACCGTGGAGAACTTGGGAAGTAGTTTAAGTCCCCACGTCCCATTTTCTTGTGTGGGCCGCTCCATCCATGCATAGGCTAACTGATAGTTCCTCCCTGACAACCTGGATCCAAGTGCAACCACTTCTTGGTGACCAGAAATGACCCTATTCCCAGATGAGGGTTCTTTTGTCTATTAACGATCTTTTTAGTAACCTCTACAGTCCAAATCTCATTAGCCAGGATTTCTGTGGAGAAGCCTTTTAACTTTTCCACAGCTCAGTTTCCTTATCAGCCAATGCGGGAATAAGCCTCGAACAGAATGTGTTTCGTGGTTGCTCCCCGGGTCTAGCTCATTCCCGTAACGCTTCTAACCAGCCAGGGAAATGTGTCTCTACCATCAAATGATGGTCGGAGAGGAGGAACTTCCTTTTCTCTTTCCCATTTTCTGTTCCCAGACTATCTAGGTTTATTTCTAAAGAGGAAAAGTCCAGCAGTAAATAAATATTTATATATTATATATAAATATATATGCTACATATGTACACATATAAGACCTTTCAGAAGGTCCTCTGTCACACTGTGAGAGCGGGAAGTGCAAAGAAAACAGGCAATCTCCTGATGGGTGTCTCCTAGTTCTCCCTGCAAAGCTCCCCCTTCCTACCATCTCTGCCACCAGGGCTTGGAATTCAAACAGGAGATTCACTTTGGCTTGTGTGGTAGTGAGGCTGGGGAGTACTGCGAGTGGTTCTTCTTTTCTTCTCTTTTTACACAGTATCATGACATTGATTTTAAAAATAAAGTCCACTTTCTCAGTTTTCCCTCCCAGGTGTTCATAGACACTAGGAAAATAAACACCACATCTGAAGTAGCCTGCCCAGGCAGCCATGTTTGTTCTCTAAGCAAACAGCCGCCAAGAGATGCTTCAGGAAGCGAACAAGTGCCCATGGGCAGCCGAGAGAACAGAGAATGGAAACTGCTTTCCTGGGCTTCTTGGCTTTTCCTCAGCGAGCGAGGAGGGGAGGAGCTGTTGCTTGAAGGACAAGGAAGAAGCCATCGTGTGCTTGCTGAGCTCTGCCAAGGGTTTTGCTTGGAGAGCTGGAGGCTGTTTTGTTTCTGTACAGAGGACTTTTGTGCAAAATTTCTGGGTTGGAGCGCTTTCTCCTGACCACATCCGATCTCATGTAGGCAGGGAACATACAGCCTGGAACCTTACAGGAATTGGTGAAGGAAAAAAAAGGGGGGGGGGATTTCTCCTTCAGGCTCAGAGTCTACCCCAGGCCTGTGGGAATGTGGAAGTGGCTATGGGAGCCAACCCATCCTGGTGGGCCCTGCGTCCATTCAAAATAGTTCACGGGTATTGGTTCTGTTAAGAGTGGATCCGTTTTAAAAACAGGTAGACTGTACGGCAGGACGACACTTTCCTCTGGGAGGGTGGCTTGACTTCCTCTGGCTACAGATGTGTGTCTGTGTGTGTGACTGTATGGTGTGTATGTGTGTGGTGTGTGTGTGTGTGTGTGTGTGTGTGTGTGCATGGTATGTGTGTATGTGTGTGCGCATGTGTGTCTGTGTGATGTGTGTGTGCACGTGTGTAGATTCTTCTTGGTAGAGCTGGTGTTTGTTTGGCGTGCTCTTTAGTCTTTTGAACGGCTTTTCCTCCGCAATGAAAAGAAGCTGCTCTTCTGGGGAGGCCCCATCATCATAGGTGCCTGGTTTTTGTGAGTGATTTTAATCTGAAATAAAGAAACAGCGATAAATTAGTGGTAATGCAAGAATCCAGCACCTCAGGGGAGAGTGGACCGTGGGAAAGAAAGGAGACCAGCTTTGTAGAAGGACAACTGTCCTTGAACACTTTCAAAATTGGCAACTTGACCCTGACTGGGCCTGGAGTTTGGCACTGCTGGAAGCGAGGGGCGGAAACATGGGGGAGAGACAGGTGTGAGCTTCCCACGTGGCCATCAGCTCGCACCTGTCTTCTGTCCTTGCTATTCATAGATTGTCAGAATGTCACAGCCAGAGGAGACCTCAGGAACATTCCCATTCACCCCTCTGTAGGACGGGTAAGGAGGAGGAGCCCAGAATTCTGGCGGGTTCTTAGCTCAGCCCGAGGTCACATGGCGGGGTGGCGGGTGGTAGGCAGGAGGGCCACAGCATCGCCTCCATATCCCCCAGTGCTGACTCAGCCCAGGCAGAAGACATATGTCAGCCAGTTGATCTGAAGGCTTCGGACTTACCTCTGGCCAAGCAACCTCAGTTGGACAGTTCCCAAATGAGTCCCTTGAGTATATCCTCTTTGCTTAGGCTCTAAGACAACCCTATTTTGTTGGATAAGCTTTTTAATTTTTTTAATTTTAAGGTTTATCATTTTATTCTATAAACATTCCGTTAATTATAGACCTGTCTCCAAAACTCTTAATTCCTATTTGAATGTGGCCTGGTGACACTCCCACACTAATACTCGGTGTTATCACTCCATCGACATTTATCAAGTGTGATCCATGTTCGGAGTGGGTGGGTGATACCGGAACAGGAGGTACTTAGGATTCAAAGACTTGGGTGTGGGGCCGTGTACTTCTGTTTCCTTGCTGCAGAACTTTGGACAAATAATTTATCATTCAGAGAACAGTGCTTGCCAAACTTCAAAGTAAGGATAACATTGATACTATTTCCTTACACAAAGATCATATGACAAGACTGTCCATGAACACCCATTGTAAACCGTACAATGGAAGGGAATGGCTAGGTGTTATACGGGAGAAAGAGAGAATGGGTGCCAAAGGAAACAGAACCTGGAAGCTCACAGCTCTATGGACCTAGTCTTGCAGTTTTTACCATACTACTGCAAGTCACAGTGTGACCTCAGAGAAAAAAAGTAGACAAATTATCGAAGAGCAAACCCATCACCAATTTTAAATGAATGTAGCATTAGCTAGGGGGTCTTACAAAAGAATGAAGACTCAAGAAACGTCTGATGAGAGCAGGAGGCTTCTTAAAATTTGAAGGTAAGGAAAAGGAGAAACGGGGCAATGGGGTAGAGGAAGTATGTATGAACAGGCTGAGCTGAGTGCAAAGGATGAGGACTGTGGGAGACAGGGCAGTTGGTTGATAGACGACTGTAAAAGGGAATGGCAAGACTGGGTTCCTGTGAGGTAAACAGAAACGACAAAACACGGCTGTATATAAGATGACAGAAAGGACTGGACAATTATTGAACAGCTGTCATCAGAGAGAGCGAGAGTGAGATGTCCAGCAATGAGGACGCCGCTGTAAGTTAGGCTCACAGAAGCCTCCAAGACCGGAAAGAAAAGGATGGACGTGAGCGACACTGGACCATCAGCACAGCCTGACGATAGCACTGAAATGACTGTCCTGTTGTTTTTCGCCAGCCTGGAGATTTTCTGGCAGACGATTGGATCAAGAATCCATCAATCGCCATTTTGTGTTCTAAGCGGTTACGTTTGCTGCGGCTCTGGAAGCAAGGCAGAGATGGGGACTCAGCGGCACCTAGCCAGAGCCGGTTCTCGCGCATGCTCCGCTGGTAGAGATTCGTGACACAGGCTTTGGGATAAACCTTCTCTCACTGCTGAGCTCAGATGTTCATTTGAGGAAGACTTCTGTCTCCTCACTTTGATATCCCTGAACCAAGCGGATGTTTGCTGGGAGACTGTGCTAGGGAAGAGGAACCAGGCCAGAGAAAAGAGCATTTTCCTGGCATTCAAGATGGCCATGCTTTAGGAAAGGGTAGCAGCTGTGCACGTTAGGAGAGAAGGCCCTTGCTTCTTTCTCTGCCTCTGACTGAACTAAGTCTTGCCTGTTAGCTCCTCCAAGGCTAAGGGAGGAAGTAAAACATAAATCTGTTTTTGCAACTTTTTGTGTAGCTCTGGCTGGCCTAGAACTCTCTTACGTGGCCCAGGTGGGCCTCAAATTCACGGGGATCCTCCTTCATCTCCACTATGAGAGCTGGGATTGTAAGTGGGCTCTGTCACGCTCAGGCTTCTCTGAAATTTTAACAAATGTGCCAGCAGGGTAGGTGTTTGGAATGTCTCTTAAACATGATAATTTGGTCACTGTTAGTATTCAGGCATCTTTACTGCCCTGCCCTTGGGGTCCTGACAGGATACACTCTCAGCTACAACTACTAACACCATCTCCCTGTGCATATTCGCTATATGCCTACCTCCTATCTTTCTTTTCTCTCCCTCTCTTCCCTCTCCCTGTTCCTCTCCTCCCTCTCCTTCACTCCATCTCTCTCTCTCTCTTCTGCAACTCTTGTACCCAGGGACTGGTCTCTGCCCCCTTCTTTCTTAAAGTAATCTCAGAAGAGAGGGGGCCTTCTAATATAAATATATATATATATGTATATATATGATCTAATAAAAGATGTATTATCATCTTTTAAATCAGATATTTTTGCTGGAAGCGGTGGCGCACACCTTTAATCCCAGTGGGAGGCAGAGGCAGGTAGATCTCTATGATCTCTGAGGCCAGCCTGGTCTACAAGAGTGAGTTCCAGGACAGACAGGGCTGTTACACAGGGAAATCCTGTTTCAAAAAACAACCAAACAAGCAACCTTATGTCTTGATGGGTTCTCCAAGATATTGGAATCCTCTTTCAGGAGCGTTTTCTAGTACCTGAGGCCTTCTGACAGTGACAGAATTTAGAATCACTGGATCCTGATTATGTTTAATTAAAGAGGTGAGACCCGCATATATGTGGGCACCACAGCCTGGCTTGGGCCCTGGACTGTGTCAGTGGAGCAAGGGAGCAGAGCAGAAGGGCGCCTTCATCTCTCCCCCTTGCCCCACTGTGGATGTCACATGACCAGTTGTTTCCCGTTCTTGTTGCCTTGACTGTACCCTTGAACTGTGAACCAGAAGCTGATTTTGTTCAAGTATTTCATAACAACAGAAAAACAAACTACAACAGGCTTCAAATGTAGTCGGGATAGCTGAGTGGGTTTAACCGCATCAGAGGTTTGCCTGCATTGGTCCCCAAATCTAAAGCGTCAGCCCCTCCCTAGAACACATCAGGAAGCCCCATTCTTGGGCCTCCAGACCTCCTAGATTAGAACTCTGAGAAGTGTTCCAGTCACGCGAATTTTAACCTCCACTCCAGTTCCACAGTTCACCAGACTGGACAACTGTGGTCATTTCCAACTTAATGATTTCACTACTATCCAACTTTAGAAGGAGATTCCTTTTAAATTTTACTTTTTGAGACAGAGTCTCATGTACCCAGGCTGGCCTCCAACTCATTACGTAGCTGATTACCTCAAACTTGTGATCCTCCTGCCTCTACCTCCCTGGTGCTGAGATTATAGTGTGAGCAATGATGGTGGAGCATGGGATACTATTTTACAGCACTGTGTAAGGCAACATTTTTAATAAATATATATGTTACATATGTAGATATGTTTCTCTATATAAACAGATATCTGTTATTTAAAAGTTTAAAAATCTTCCAACCAACAACTTTCTTTCTTGGTATACTGCTTTAATTTATTTCCATGCTTTCATGTCTTAACAAAACTGAAATCAGCATCTAGAACTGCTGTGTTTTGATATTAGTTTGCCAGTGCTTTAATGTCCTTTATATTTAATTTTAAAATAAGTTTATCTTTAATTAATTTACCTTACTCAGCTTTGGAGAGTGAACCCTGGGCCTTGCTATGTGAGGAAAGTATTGACTCATGCGCTGCACCTCCAGTTCTGAAAATTTTATAAATTGTACTTTCAGTGTCTAAAAATTATTCCATTTGATGAATATAATGTAGTTTATTTATAACTCTTCAGGGCTGGTGAGGTTGTTCAGTGGTTATGACCATCGGCTGCTCTTGCAGAGGACCTGGGGTAGCTTACATAGTGGCTACTCTCTATATAACTCCAGTTCCAGGGGTTCTGGAACCTTTTCTGCCCTCCAGGGGTATCAGGCAGGCACACAGTCCACATACATGCATGCAGATGAAACACTCATACACATAAATTTTACAAAAGTTTTTAAAAGCTTACATCCTCACTAACTGTTGGGCTTTTGTGAACAATTCATTTTTGCTACGCTGCATGAAGCAGAAACTGACATTCTTATCCATCTATGACTATATTTTCAAGACATTTTTATTTTATGTTTATGAGTGTTTTGCCTGTATGTCTGTGCACCGCATGCATATAACACCCACAAAGGCAAATAGAGGGCGTTAGATCCCCAGAAACTGGAGTTAGAGACAGTGGGAGCCACCATGGGGTGATGGGAACCAAACCTGGGTCCTCTGCAGGATCAGCAAGTGCTCTTAACTGCTGAGCCACACGGTTCTTCCTGATACATGGTTTAAGAAGCAATCCCGAAAAACTGGGCCAGCTCATTCTCCTGTCTTACTGAGTGTGAGGCCTTACCACATCCTGACAGAAGCAAATGTTTTCTTCAACTTCCTTAGCATATGAAGAATTACACGGTGTTCAAACTGTCTTAATTTGAAAAATCTTCCTTCTTTAAAAACTTGTGTTATCATATATGACTCCATAGGTTAATATCTGCAAATTGTCTGTCCATTCTTACACTGTTAGCGCTTTTTTTCTACTGGGTTCTAAGTGCTGTTTTTTTTTTTTTTATAGTATAGGAACTAGCCTGCTCTTCTGTATTGCTATTGTAAACAGTTTGCCCTTAGGCTTTTGAATATCTAAATTAATTTGTTTTTATTTTACTCGGTTGTTGTTTATGTTGGTGTTTCTCATGGAC